GGGTGCGGCGGCGGCGGGCGGCGGGCGGCGAGCGGGCGAAGATGGCGGAGCTCGGTAAGAAGTACTGCGTGTACTGCCTGGCCGAGGTGAGCCCGCTGCGCTTCCGCTGCACCGAGTGCCAGGACATCGAGCTGTGCCCCGAGTGCTTCTCGGCCGGGGCCGAGATCGGCCACCACCGCCGCTACCACGGCTACCAGCTGGTGGACGGCGGGCGCTTCACGCTCTGGGGGCCCGAGGCCGAGGGCGGCTGGACCAGCCGCGAGGAGCAGCTGCTGCTGGACGCCATCGAGCAGTTCGGCTTCGGAAACTGGGTGAGCGGCGGCGCGGACGGGCCAGCTGCCTGCCAGGCCGCCGAGCCCCGGGGCGCTGGGAGCAGCCCGGCCCGCTCGTTCCGTAAAGTGCACGAGCAGCCCCCGAAGGCCGGTGAGGCAGGGCGTGCGGACATTCCCAGTTTAGTCGGAGGCCCAAGCTCAGAGAGGTTAAGTAACGCGCCCAAGGCCACACAGCCAGGAGGGAGCACAGCGGGTTGCACTTGGCTGCCAGCAGGAACGCCTTCAGTAGATGTTCCCCGAGCGCAGGCTTCGGGCAAGACCCGGCGCTTTGCCTGAGTTCCTGGAGGCAAGACAGCGGTGGGATCGCTGAGGGAAGAGCGGGTTTTTCCCGGAGCACAGTGGAGGTGAAGGCCACGCCAGCCTCACAGACGCCCTGCGGCCTGTCACGCTGTCCCCGATGCTCACGTTTTGCGCTCCCCGCCCTGTTTGCTGCCTGGTTGTCTGCGTGTGCCCTGTGTGGTCCACCAGAGCACAGTGCTTTCTAGATAGCGATGCCTTGACTGTCCTGGGGTCCCTACAACACCCAGGACATTGCATGATGCGTAGTCAGTGAGTAATGAACAGAGGAGCCCGGACTAGGAGCCATTGGTCCTGGGTCTTGCTCTGTTTGTCAGGTTTGGGTAGAGACGTTTGAGAGGAGAAGGTGAGAGCTGGACTGGATTCATTTACGCGAGCAAGACATTGTGCTAGGCTCGCTCCTTGTGAGCAACGTGGTGTTCTTCTCTGAGTGGTCTCTAGGGAGCTCTCTTTCCACTCCAGAAGAGGAAGCTTTCATCCGTGGTAGGAAGGAAAACTCTAGCTGCATTCTCACACATAACCTCCGAGGATACTTGGCCATCCATATTCAGTCATTCTGAGAAGTAGTAAGCAAGACTTGACCCCAGCTCCCTGTTCTTTCCAGACTCTTCTGGTATATTACTGTCCCCCTACTCCACTGGGCCCGTATTTCAGCTTGCCGACACTTCTCCAGCAGTACTGCCCCTCCTCGTTTCCAAACCTGTACTGCTTTTATTTCCTTTTGCTTTACTTTTCATAAAGTGAGCCAGTCTTCAGGGACCATGCCTCTTACCCATTCCTCAGGCCTGAAATCTTTATTCTCTTCCCAACCCCTTAGTGAAGACCCCACTTTACAAAGTCTTACCTAATCGCCAGTATTGTGATTGCCACCCTCCAAAAACTTTGTCTCTCTTTGTCCTTAAATGCTGTTTCTTGATGCGGATGGAGCATCTGTTTTGTGCAGATTCTACAGTGGTGAAGAACTCTGAAGAGAAGGCTTTGTCCTTGCCTGCAGGCAGCCATAAGTGTTGTATTCACTTGGTCCTGGGCCCATAGCACTTCTCTAAGCTCCAACTTGTGATGTCCTCACCTGCTTATCCATTGGCATCTCAGCTCTGCGTGACCCAGATCTCACAGCACCCTACTCAGTGCTCAGGCTGCAAACAGAGCCATCCTTCACTCCCTCTCCCACATCATCAGCAGCCCTCTCTTCAGAATATGTCCAGAGTCTCACCACTTCTGACTGTCTTAGTTCTGGAGCCTCCTAACTGAGATCCCTGTTTCATTCTTGTCCCTATAGCTCATTTCACACACCATAATTAGGGTGATCTTTTAAAGCATACGTCACAGCGCCTCGGCCTTCAGTGGCTTCCAGGTCTATTTAGATTAAAATTCACAGCCTACAAGGCCTCACAGTGTATGTTGATCAAATTACCCTCCTGGTCATTTTTTCTTTCTTCTGCCTGGACTGCTCTTACCACACATAATGGCTGGTGACATATTTGTCCTTAAATATCAGTGCTGCAGAGACTTCCCTTTCCCACATCATTCTCACAGCACTGTCTCTACAGTAGCAGCTAAAAATAGCTGATGTGGACTGAGAGCGATGTCTTTGCAGTGTGCCAGGCACTGCGCCCAGTTCTCTGCATATCTCATGAAGTCTTCCCAACAACCCTAGACTGGAGATTTCGGGTGGAATAGTTTGACTTCAAAGTCTGTGCTCCTAACTACACTGTCTACACTGCCTCCTCTCTAGCACTGTGGAAAATACGCAAAACACAAGACCAGGGCACCAAAACATTTATGGTGTATTAGAAGAAACAGGGCTGGAGGTGGAGAGACCTCTTTTGTAGAGCAGTACTTTTCAAACTTTGATATGTGTGTGAGTCACCAGGGGAGCACGTTTGATCCCGACTCTAAGCAATCTATAGGCTCTTTGCTGTTAGAAGGGCATGGAGCTTGGGTTCCTGCAGTGGATTGACTGTGTCTCCCAAAGTCCATGTATTAGAAACTTAGTCCCGGGCCGAACCCATGGCGCACTCGGGAGAGTGTGGCGCTGGGAGCGCAGCGACGCTCCCGCCGTGGGTTCGGATCCTATATAGGAATGGCCGGTGCGCTCACTGGCTGAGTGCCGTGTGGGTGACACCACACCAAGGGTTGCGATCCCCTTACCAGTAACGAAAAAGACAAAAAAAAAAAAAAAAAAACTTAGTCCCCACTGTGACAGTGTTAAGAGGCTGGAAAAATCTATTGTGGTATTTGAGACGTGGGACCTTGTAGAGGTGATGGATTGTGAGGACTGTCCCGTCATGAATGGATTGATCCATTTTTGGAATAATGGGAGTGGTTCTTGTGGTTTTAAAAGGAGAGTGAATGAGGAGGTTAGTCTCTCTCTCTGCTCCACCATTCATTCTGCCATGTGAGACTCCTGTGTCACTGTCACCACCACCAAGGCCTTCACCAGATGAGTTCCCTGGAGCTTGGACTTCCCAGCCTCCAAAACATAAGCAATAAATTTCATTTTCTTACAGATTACCCAGTTTCAGGTATTTTTGTTATAAGCAACAGAAATGGACTAATACAGTGCTGTTAACATAGGGTGTGGCCTGGCAACCCTCAAGGCCTTCTCCCTGCTGAACCAGTGATGGGTTCAGGGAGAGATCTGAGATTCTGCATTGCCAGCCAAGTCTCAAGTGATGCTCATGCTGGTCCGCAGACCCTACTCTGAGTGGCGAGGCTCTGTTATCTCTATAGCTGTGCTGTTGTGTGCTAGTTGCTTTACCCATCTGGACTTAATTTTTCTTCACCTGAGGCCCTTCTTCACAGCTCTGAGATGTGTGGTTCTCTTCTGAGCATACATCCAGACATGTGCACAGAAGGAGTATGTCCCACTTAAATGACATATTTAGCATGTGCTAGTTCTGGGCTAGGCTCTTTCCCTACATATTTCATGTGATCTTCACAGCAGCCCGCAAGGGGTGGCTTCTCATTCTTAGTTTACATTTGAAGAATAGCAGCTCTGAGAATCTAAGCTACTTGTCCAGGATTCCACAGCTTTTCACGTGATAGAGCTGGAGTTGAACGTAGGCCTGTCTGATTCCAAAGTCTGGGCCTTAACCACTTGGTGTAAGAGCATTAGGTAATGTGGGTCAGAAGCTGGGAGCTCATTGGCACCACCGGAGGTGTGGCTAGACTACAGGGCTTTACAGAGGAGCCACCTCTTGACCTGGTCAGGGGGAGATTAGTGAGGGGAAAGCGGCACTGGGTGAGAGCAGAACTTGGGTTCCCTGGGTTGGGATGTTGAGTGTGGAAGAGTCAGTGTGGGAATCAGGGACAGTGGTGTGAAGGGAGATAAGCCATGTTCAGTTTTGATTTCCGATGGCAAATGGTGACCAAGGACCTGAGGGTTGTGCTACTTCATTGGAACTCCTGGCGGGGAAGAGGGTTGTTGCTGAAGTCTGGCAGCATTGCGGTCACACTTTGTACCAGGGCTGAGGCATGGGGCCCTAAGGGAATGGGGCGTAGCTGAGGAATGTTAACAGTGAAGGCAGGGAGGGCTTGGGATGATCAGCGTGCCCGTGTGTGTGTTTGATAGCAAGAGGCAGGGAGGACGGGTGCAGAGACCCTGGCTCTGATGAGGAAGAGTTGACAGCAGACAGTGACCCTCAGAGTCAGATCAGCAGGGGTATTGAGAGTCTCGACAGCCGGGTTGTGGTGGGTTCTGTGCAGGCTTCAGAGAGTGAGAGGACACAGACCCTGCCTGAATACATGAACACAAACATAAACACAAAAGTAGATATTTTAAGACAACTCAAGACTGTGGTTGAAGAGCCATAGGGTTGTTGATTGGTTGCCAGAGAAGCTGAGCTGTCCTTGAGGAGGCAGTTTGAGGAAGGCCAGAGCTCCTCTACAGGTGGTGGTCTGGAGGGCTTTTGGGGGGAAGTGTGGTTCAGGCTGCCCTAGAGGTTTTGAATTAAGTAAGCACGTGAAGTTCTCTGTAACCTTCGAAGGGCCTTGTGCATGTGTATCTACATCCGTTCAGGCTCATTGTTGGAGGCAGACGAGTTGTCATTAAAAAAGAGATGATTTATAGATGATAGCAGACACCCAAAAGGCTGGGTCATACTGGATATGTAGATGATGTTGCTTTATGCATTCATTCATTCATTCATTTTGCTAGTACTCACTCAGAGCCTGTCATATGTCAGCCCCTGTGGTTGACCGCTAGGAGTGAGACAGCTGTGTAACCTTTAGGTGTTGTGTGGACAGGTGGACCTTGGGGCGTCCTGTGGTGGGAAGGACAAGAGAAGGCTGTCTAGGTGGAAGGATTGTGTGGAGGAAGGAGGACTTTTGTATTGTAGGCATCTGGTGTATTCAGGGGCAGGCAAAAGCCAGCTTGCCTCAAGTGGAGGACTACAGGGGAGACCACCCCCAGTGGGGGTTGAGAAAGTGGCTAAGCTTGTATGGGGTCACATTTTGAACATCCGTGAGCACCAGGCACTAGGGCATAAGTGGGGTTTCGAAATCGATTCAAACTCCCCAGGTGCCAGGCCCAAAGCTGGGTGCTTTGACATGTGCTCCCTCTCTATCCCCCCACCCCCCAGGCCATGAGGCAGGTAAATGGTCCCTCCTTTTTCTAATGAGAGACAGCTGTGGGTGATGACGGACCATGGTGGGGCCGGAATTTGAGCCCAGATCTTCCGACCTCATGCTTAGAACCACCTGCTCCATTCGTCCACCTGAGGATCCCCAGGGACCTGCTGAGCTGGCATCTCTGGGATGGAGTCTGGACATGTGCACGTGTAAAAAGAATCCCAGCGAGTTCTGAGGCAGTGAGTCCGTGGAGCCGAGTATGGGAACTGTGGAAAGGTCACCGCACCCTCCCACCCAGGGCGGAGGCTCTTCTGTGTGTTGCTGGGAATGGGTCAGCCACCGGCCCATGAGCGTCCTGACAGTGGACTTTTAGGAATTGCTATGAAGGATGGGCTGGAGGAGGGAAGAGCGTGGGCAGGGACACCAGCTAGAATTACTAGGGGGGTGCAGAGCAGTGGCTCTCAAACTTCAGTGTGTATCAGAACACCCAGGAGGGCTTGTGCACCACAAATCTCCCCACCCAGATTTCTGAGCCAGCAGGTCTGGGTGGGGCCTGACAATGTGCATTTCTCACAGCCTCCCAGACAGTGCTGATGCTGCTGGCCCAGGGACCCCACTTGAAGAACCACTAGGGTAGAGTAGTAAGACATGCCACTTTAAAAATTTTTAGAATTTTTTATTTTTTAAAACTTTATTTTGGTAAAATATATATAACACAATTTACTGTCTTAACCCTTTTCATGTGTACAGCTCAGTGGCATTGAGCACACACTCACACTGTTGTGCAGCCATCACCACCATCCATCTCCAGAACGTTCTCATCTTCCCACATTGAAACTGTCCCCACTAAACACTGCCTCCCCGTCCCCCCTCCCCCAGCCCTGGCAGCCCCCATTTTACTTTCTGTCTGTATGAATTTGACTACTATAGGGACCTCCCATAAATGGCATCATCCAGTGTTTGTCCTTTTGTGACTGGCTTATTTCACTCAGCATAACATCCTCGGTTCACGCGTGTGGTATCAGGTGTCAGAACTTCCTTCCCTGTTTCCTCAGCAGCAGGCCAGCAGCAGGGGACCTGGACGCCCTTTGTTGAGGCTGCATCATAATCCAGTGTCTGGATGACCCACGGGGCTCTCCACTCGTCCGTCAGTGGGAACCTGCGTTGCTTTTGTGACTGTGCTGCTGGGAGCACAGGTGTACAGGTATCTCTTCAGGACTCTGCTTTTAGTTCTTTGGGTAAATACTTAGCAGCAGAGTTGCTGGGTCATATTCTGTGTTAATTCCTGAGGAACCACTGTGCTGTTTTCCACAGCGAGGCTCTTTCACAGGTAGCCGCATCTGACCTGAAGGCTTCAGTTGCCTGGAGGCGTAATGCCAACTCTGTAAGTCATTGAGTTCTCTGAGACAATTTACAGAGGGGGACAGGGAACCCAGCACTGAAGCTTACAGGGCTTCCATTGAACAGGCCAGGTGCAGTGGCTGGGGACATAGGGGGGGTCTCTGGACCGCCTGAGAACCTGGGAGAACGAGCTGGATCTGAGACTGAGGCATTGGAGGAGGGATGTCTCTCCACTTTAAGGGTGACAGGGCAAGGCTGGGAGAGGGAAGAGCCGTGTCCAGGGTCCTACTGTGTGACTGTGACCAAGCTGGCGTGCCAGCCCTGGAGGGCTGATGTTGTCCAACGCTGCTATTGCCTGGCTGCACTGTCCTGCCACCCCCTGCGGAGGGCCCTGGGAGATGCCAGCTGGGTGTCCTTTGCTGGCCAGTGTCAGGGTGTGCTGAGACGTGGTGGCACTGGAGCAACTTAGCTGAGGGAGGTGCCAGCAGGACCAAATGAGAGGCTGCAGAGCTGTGTCAGGCCCCTGTGGTGTGGGACTGGGGCCCATGGTCGATTGTGGGGAGATGGGGCAGCGCAAGGAGCTCCTGAGAGGATGGTGGCCTGGGCCCTCCTGGGTCTCCTGTGGTTGTACAGAAGTGGCTTTTCACTCTGGACACAGAAGTGACAGATCCCGCAGTGCCCAGTCTGTGCATCAGTGTGGTTTGGCTCAGCTCTGCCCTTTAGCATAGCCTTAGGAAGCCATCTGATCGCAGGACCGCCTTCCCTCCCTGCCCCCAGTGTGTACTGTATTGGGGACTGTGAGAGGCGCATGCTCGGGCCAGCTAGCCTGGGGTTACACGACTCAGCCCTTACTGGCCTGGTGCCCGTGATGGTGGGTCACCCTGAGGTTTATTTTCCGTATCTGTGAAATGGGAGTAGTAATAACATTACCACCTCGCGGGGACTGCTGTGAGGACTCAGTGAGATGGTGAGTGCAGATACACCTCACCTGCACATAGTTTCACTTTAATTCTATCCCAACGAGACCTGTATGAGGCAGGATTACTGATCAGCAAGCAGCAGCAGTTGAGAGGATTGCAAGTGATGGAGCCAGAATGCGACCCAGCCCTGGGGGTTGCTGAAGGATCCCTGGTCAGGATGGCCTGGGTCTTGAGGGGTGAGCACAAGCCATGGGAGTGAGGCCGACAGCTCCTGAGCAGGAGGAGCTGGCGTGGTGGGGTGTGTCTGGCCCTGAGCCTGTGCACCCGGAGGAAGGGGCATCACCTGCTGGGGGAGCTGCCGGCTCATGGTGTCTGTCTAGCTGGGGACTGGGAAATTCCCCAGAGGGGCAAAGCTGGAGCCAAGACAGCTCTTACAGGTCTTGAAAGGCACTCCGAGGAGTTTGGTGACCCTGACTGATTAGTGCTCCCAGATTTTCAGATTTCATAGACCAGTGAAATGGAATAAAGTATTCTGGAGGCTAACATAGAGTTGCTAACTTTAAGATTTTCCAAGTAAGGATATTTAAAAAAATCTCTCTGAGGGAGAAGACTTGCAGGCCTCTCCCTGTGAGTCTTCCCACTGGAACCAGGGACGGTGCTGCGCCCGAGCTCCTTGCCCTACACCGTGGGTGAGTGGCTGGGTTTCTGGGCCTCTGGGGATGCAGGAGTTGAGAGCAGTGTCCAGCTCTTGGGGCACCAAAAAGTTGAATCTGAGGCTGGAGAGTGTGCAGTGGTTCTTTATCCCAGCCTCAGACAGAAGCTGGCGCTGAGGGCTGGGGAAGCTGCTCAGGCCCAGGCTGCCTCTGCCGTGGTGCCCACTGAGCAGTGGAAACACAGATGAGAGGCGCTGGGCGGGTCATTTCTTTCCGCTCTCCAGACACCTCCGAGCAAGTCCGCCAGGGCTTTTACCTGGCACGACCCGTCCCTTGCAAAAGGGTGGGTTGTCAGGGATGCTTTTCCACTAATAGAAATGGCTATAGCTCTCCCTGTCCCCGAGGCCAGTGTAGATCATCACTGGGCTCCCTGGTCCCCAGGGTGGGTTGGGGGAGGAGAAGAAGCCGTCAGTGGCCTCGGCCCCGGCTGCCTTGGTGGTGGGCTGTTGCGGGGAGCCCAGCTGTGTCTGAAGCCTTGTCATGCCCATGTGAGGTGGACGGGCTGCCTGCTCCTCTGCTGGAAGGATCTGAGGCTCGGAGATGTGCAGTGGCCAGCCTGGGTCACACAGAGTAGTAACAGATGCTGGGGATAGTTGTGACTTGGTGGTGTGGACCGCATGCTTCCTGGGAAAATAAAATGAGTGGATTTGATGCAAACAGTGATTCTTTTAAAAGAAGAAATTGTGTAAATAATTCATCCCCAGAAAACTAGAATTCGTTTTTAGTTCTTACCTTTGCTTTTCTCCTTCCAATTCTCAGAGACCCCACAGTTCTCAGGACTGCCTTCTTTCTTTCTGCCCCATAATTCCCAGCCACAACATTCCCAGGACTAGTGGGCAGGGACCCGGCACTGCGGCTCAGGTGTGTGTCCCAGACGCAGCCCCAGATGGCGAGTCTGTTCACTGAGCCAGGAGTGCTTCCCTGTCCCACGATGCCCAGCTTGGGGTCAGCTGCCAGCCTACATGGACTGGCTGGTTCCTTGGATTCCATCTGGGCCTCTGCAGGAGCTGCGTGGCAGCGCTGGGTGGAAGCAGCTTCCCCTAGCCTGGAGGGCCGAGGCCTGCTGCAGTCAGGCGCGAGTGGGGAGAAGTGGCAGCTGGTGAGTGAGTGTGCATGTGGGGCAGTTACTTTCTGAAGTGGCTTTAGTGGTTGACTTTGAGGAAGAGGCCTCTCGACAGAAGGAAAAGATCGAGGGACTTACACCGTTTCCTCCCATTAATAAACTTGTATTTATGAGCTACCTTCTTGTAGGAATGATGAATGCTTTCAGCCTGTGGCCAGTTCTCAGCTTTGTAACTGTGGAACGTGATAGAAAAGAAGGCCTTCTCCCTTGAAAAGCCTCTGCCTAGGAAAGGGACAAGCTGGCCCTCCTGAAGCACAGAGGCCAGGGGTGGGGTGGGGTGGGGTGTGCAGCCAGGACAAGTACCTGGCCCTTCTGTCCTGGGAGGCAGGTAACACAGTAGAACAAGGTCCCTTCCTGTAGCTGGGGCCTGGGTCAGGGATTGGACTTTTCCCTGCATCCTCGGACAAGACCTTTTTCTAATCTATGAATGAGGAGGGTTCAGGCGTTCCCTGCCCTTGCCCACCTGTGTCCTTGTGAAGCTCAGACAGACAGTCCCTGAGAGTGCAGGGCTTGCAGTGGGGCAAAATGGCCAGTACCAGGCGGGCTCTGCTAGTCCTGCTTCAGGAACGAGAACAAGGGACGGGTCCCAGACAGGGGTCTGGTCTCAGTTCTGCCACCAGCTAACCCCATGACCTTGGGCAAGTTCACACCTCGTGCCACGTACAAAATCGGTGCGGGTTCCTTGACGTCCCTGCCATGAAGCCAGCTCAGGAGAGAATGTGTAACTGTGAATGCCTTTCGGGAGGCGTAACGATGTTGATAGGAAGTCTTTGCACAAGTGTTACCTGAATGTGTGTGAAACATGAGTGTGACACTCTGACTGTGTGGAAATGACTTCGGACCTTTGTCATTGTAGGAGGACATGGCTGCTCATGTCGGCGCTTCTCGGACACCCCAAGAAGTGATGGAGCATTATGTAAGCATGTACATCCATGGAAACCTGGGGAAGGCCTGCATCCCCGACACCATCCCCAACCGGGTGACAGACCACACGTGCCCCAGCGGAGGCCCCCTCTCGCCCAGCCTCACCACCCCACTGCCTCCCCTGGACATCTCGGTGGCCGAGCAGCAGCAGCTGGGCTACATGCCGCTGCGGGACGACTATGAGATCGAGTACGACCAGGACGCCGAGACGCTCATCAGCGGGCTCTCGGTCAACTACGACGACGACGACGTGGAGATCGAGCTCAAGCGCGCCCACGTGGACATGTACGTGAGGAAGCTCAAGGAGCGGCAGCGACGCAAGAACATCGCCCGGGACTACAACCTGGTGCCAGCCTTTCTGGGCAGGGACAAGAAGGACAAGGAGCGGACGCTGAAGCGCAAGATCACCAAGGAGGAGAAGGAGCTGCGGCTGAAGCTGAGGCCGCTCTACCAGTTCATGTCGTGCAGGGAGTTCGACGACTTGTTCGAGAACATGCACAAGGAGAAAATGCTCCGGGCCAAGATCAGAGAGTTGCAGAGGTACCGGCGGAACGGCATCACCAAGATGGAGGAGTCGGCCGAGTACGAGGCTGCCCGGCACAAGCGCGAGAAGAGGAAGGAGAACAAAAGCCTGGTCGGCGCCAAGAGGGGCAAGGAGGACGGCAAGGACGGGGACTTCGCGGCCATCGAGCACCTGCCCGGCTTTGAGCTCCTGTCCGACCGCGAGAAGGCGCTCTGCAGCTCGGTCAACCTGAGCCCGGCCCGCTACGTGACTGTGAAAACCATCATCATCAAGGACCACCTCCAGAAGCGACAGGGCATCCCCTCCAAAAGCCGCCTTCCTAGCTATCTGGACAAAGTCCTAAAGAAAAGGATTTTAAATTTCCTCACAGAGAGTGGCTGGATATCCAGGGATGCTTCCTGAAGCCGGGAGAGTGATGCTAAAATAGTTCATGAGCCAAAAGGATTGGGGGAGGGGGACGAAGTGCTTTTTCCCTCCACTGTTGCTCTTTTTTAAACACATTGAGTCCTTTTAAAAGATTCTCTTCGTGGTCCTCTGAAAGCAGCACTCCCAGTAGCACCAGTCTTACACTAGGTCACGGGGAGCAGACGTGTCTCTTAACTTACTCCTGAAAGTGATACTTTAAGATGACGATTTGCCCTCGCGTGTTCAGTTTGGAGAGTATTGTGAGATTGGAGAATTTACTTTTATTTTGTGAACTTTCTTCCCTTTGGGTACAAAACCTGTTGTGCTGTGGGTAACAGGAGCAGCATTTTCCTGCACGACCGACAACCATCAACTTCCTGCTGGGGGCACAGCTCTTCCCCGGTGGGCCCCGCCCACTGCTGCCATGGCTGTCCCAACGCGGCCAGGCACATGGCACTTTACGTGGAGGCGGGCCGGGCACAGATTCCTCTGCCGTGTGGCAGATGGAGAGAGTGAGACCAGAGGACAGCGACAGGATGACATTTGCTTAGAGACTGCAGAGGCAGCAGCTGGTGGTTGAGCACAGTGACCAAGCGAGCTTCCACTTAACTACTGGCAGTGGCAAAGGCCAAGCTTGTGGTCCCAGATCCCGACACCGACCCTTGCCTCACTTTACTGTGGGCAGAGCAGTGCCTCGGGCAGGCTCCGGGAGCATGGCCACGTCCCCAGGAATGGAAGAGCACATAGTGGCAAGGGCACAAGGACCAGGATAGACTGCCAGATGCTCTAAAGCAGTTTCCCAGGGCTGCCTATTGCTGCTGTTAGTACCAGCAGTGTATTTTACTCGGAAGCACCCGTTTTAAAAAGGCTAAAAGTTCTGAGGTCTGGTACTAGCTCCTCAAGAGTTTCATCACAGCTGCAAGTACCCAGTCACAGGAAATGTGGCCATGCCTGCCTGGCCAGGTATGCACTAGAGTGCGCAGGCCACCTGGCCTAGCAGCACCAGCGTGTGGCCTGCGGGCCTGGCTGCTGCTGCACGGCCACTGCCTTCAGTCAGGTGCAGTAGTGGCTTCTTCCCAGCCTGGTTACAAGTTCTTTCTGGGGCCCTCTTTCAAGGACGCACATGGTACCTTGTTCTTGAAACCTGAGGAAGTTGTTTTCTGGCTGCTCAGGACTCTCCTGTCCAAGACCCTGCTGTCGAGTCCATAGAGTGACCATGACCCCGGCTCCCCCTCCCTAGAGCTTGTCTTGCCTTCTCCTATCCCCCATAGGTACTGAGAGACTGTTTACTTCCCAGTGTTTGGGCTGGAAGTTACATTAAAGTGAAGTTATTTGCAAGAAAAGAGGAAAACACACCTCATCATTGCCGAGGATGACTTAATTCTGGTGCCTTTTCCTTTCTTCTTACATCCTTCTGTCCCCTAGGGTAAATTTTTCAGCATTAAATAAAACACTTCAAGTGTATCAGATGTGGCTTTAGTTGTGAGATACATTGCGTGCTGGCAGAGAAGTGCTCCGTTAGCTAAGCCCAGTGGTTCTCTTTGACAATAGAAGATAGCAGTGGTGTTAGTCATGAGGGCCACCTCCATATTGTCCCCTGCAGGATAAATATGGTCGACAGAGCTGACATTGTCTACCACTGAACAGTGATGGAGATGGTGTTTTTAGTTGTTTTAGCTAGTGGTTCTCAAAGTGGGGTTCCAGGAGCAGCAGCCTGTGTCCCCTGGGAACTCTTTATAAATGCAGACTCTCAGGTCCTCTTGATTCAGAAATTCTGGCTGTTTTTACAAGCCCCCACATGACTGGGATGCCAAGCTGAAGTTGGAGAACGACTGGCCTTAGCTATTCTGGTGTCTCATTCATTGATTTTCTACACCAGAATCCTAGCTTGGTGAGGTTTTTAGTCTTATTTTTATATAAAATGATTACCAGACTTAATATTAAGCTTGAGAAGCAGAAGGTCCCTGTAAATGTGTATGGCCCAGGCCAAGAGCTGTCAAGTGAAAAACTTGGTGCTTAAGCACGTTTTTAGTATGTATATCTTTTGGATGATGGTATGAAGAATTTTAGGCTTGACTGTTCTAAAACACCATAATGAATGTATAATTAATTTATGTTAAAATGTTAACACTGTTACAAGGGAGAAGTCATTTTATTATTGGTTGCCTCCTGTCCCATCAACACCAGCTACTACTGTCACATTAGTCCTTACCTCTGCTCAGAGCCTCGACATTTTTATATTTAATTCTCATGGTAAATTAGCCACCATAATCCCATGGAATTAGGTCATTTTAGAATTTAAACAAACTGTCTTTGAGTCAAAAAAATTAATTCTTCAGCTATTTGAAATAATGCTCTCTGGATGACCAACATTCCACGAATGTATCAAAAACCGAAACTGACTACCATTTTTATTTCCCTTTTACATATTAAACGAGTTGAGAACAAAATAGTGTCCCTGCTTGCTTCTTACCACTTCTTCCTCCGAGTCTCAGTTCGGACATCTTTTCAGACATTCAAAACCACGATGCAAAAATCTCATGTGACATGTTTATTTGGCACTTCTGTATCAAACCAGTTTTTTCTCCAAAATATTAAAAGATGTTTTCTGCTAAGCAAAAACCCTTCCATGCCACAGCCACTCCCTGAAAGCAGCAGTATGTCCAGAGAAAGAAAAGCCTCCCGTGAGCCGGGCTGATTTTCACGTGCCTCTGAAGTTCTGCTATACTTTCAGTTCTGGTTTGGATTGTCCACATTCTAAAACTTACCCATGTTGCAACTATGCAAAATCCAGTAACTTGATTAGAACATCAACAAGCCTTTAATTTCCAGTGTAACTGCACATAATTAAAAGCTATTTTCCTATTAGTGGTGACTGGATGATTGAAGTTAACTGTAAAGAAATATTTTGCCACATGTAAGCCAGACTGTCCAGGTCGAGTGCTTCTTAGCAGTTGCAGCTGGAGGTGATAGGGGAGGGGACTGCACACATTCATAGAAACTAGCTTGAAGTGACTTCCCTCCTTCAGCCTTCACTTTATAGGTGAGTTCCAGGGAGGTAAAATGACGTACTCCCAGCTGCACAGTATAAAAATAAGCACCGCTGTAACGCCCAGGCACGCTTTCTCTAATACATGTTGCCTTTATTTCTGGGGTACGTTTTTGACCAAATAATTTAAGGCAGCTTAAAAGGAAGAAAATGTCTGGAAATGGCGTAAATCTAAATTTTAATTATGGGACTATTACCTGCATCTTTCAAAATTCCAAGCAAACTGCATTGACTATGCCACGTCTTTTTTTATGCAGTAAACGGACTTACCAGTATTGCCCTTCAATCCTAGAAGCAGCTTTTGGAACCAAAGGCAGAGGAAGGTTGCTTCTTCTGGTCTGTAACAGGTACTTCCTCACTCCCCTTTCTTCCTAAGCCCTAGATACTAATGTAAACGAAGAGTAGAAGGCCCTTTGGCTAGAGTCAACTTTCACAAATTGTGTATGTTCTTGCTGTGTCTCCTGAGTGTTTCCAGTCCCCTTTCTGTCTCGTGTTCTTCTTCTAACACGCTACAAGGCCACACATCTCCCTGCAACGGAGGCCCAGGCATAGCCAGCCAGTGGAAGCTGCTCTCCCTAGTGGAAGCACGTATCTGTCATGGAGACAGCCTTGGGGCTGGAGCAGATAGGATGGGAAAGCTAGGTTGTACTCACCTCAGTGGCTCAAGGGTCTCCACCAAAGGACACAAATCATATCAGAAAGTAGGAAAATAAACGTGAGGGCTTTAATCTCTTAAATAAAATTTAAAAATTACACATTAACATTTAAAGTACAGACGGTCCCTGAGTCACGATGGTTAGATTATGGATTTTTTGACTCACTGCGCAGAAGCGATGCACATTCAGTAGAAGCCGTACTTCAGGCACCCACATGGCGATTGTGCTTTTCACTTTCAGCACAGCATCAACAAACCACATGAGGTGTTCAACCATTTATTATAAAGCAGGCTTTGTGTTAGATGATTCTGTCCAACTGTAGGCTAATGTAAGTATTCTGAGCACACTCGAGTTAGGCTAGGCTGAGCTTTATTTGGTAGGTTAGGCATATTAAATGCATCTTCAACTTACAATATTTTCAACTGTGAAAGGTTTATCAGGTGTAACGCTCACTGTAAGTTGAGGAGCATCTGTATCCAAAGCATGCAGTCCTCATATTTTGAGAAAATCCATCTTACTAGGAAATATACCTTGAAGTTGTTAGTAACTATTGAATATAGATTTAAACATTTCTACATTTTGTAGAAACAAAACAGGGAAAAAGGAACTGATTCTGTCAAACTCAAGGTGGTGAGAACTGTCAAAGCATGCATGCTCCTTTTATATTTCCACAGAAAAGCCGGGTCACTGTTAACAGCTAGGTAGTAACTGATTTATAAATGAACTCATAAGTCTTCACAAAGGTCACCACATCATTCTTTTTTAGCAAGAAAAATGTTTCAACCCTCACCTTTCCTTCCCTGAGTGAAACGTGTAGCAGGCTAACTATGCCAGTAACGCACGTGGGACCGTAAGCTGCAGAAGAGACACTGAGGACATGCGCAGACAGGTAGCCAAACAGCAGACTTCCTGAAGACCTTTTATTTAAGATACTTGGATGTCACCAGAGTTTGAGCAGATACAATGTTGTTATTCATGGTACTCTAGAAGTCCTGTAGTGTCCCGCTGGCCCTCCTCTGTAAGTACGTGGGACTATTAAACATGTGGCACTAAAAAAATCAGTGAACAGACTCCCAAATTAGAGTTCATTAACACAACTGTGCAACTGGCTTAATTTCTGGTTTAGCCACTGGTTACTTAAGCTTTCCAACAAGGTTTGGGAAAAGATCAAATGTATTCGTAGATGAGAAAAGATGAAGCAGCCTTTCAAGAGTTATAGCAAATGACTTGAAATAAACAAAAACCCTGCGGGAGGCAGCTAAGCCTCCTTCACCACCCCCACGAGGGCAGGTCTCAGGGTGCGCCCGTGCAGCTTGTACCCCACCTTGCTGACCAGCGCCACTGTGCCTGGCTCCTTCCCCTCAACCCGCGTGTGGAACAAGGCCTCGTGTTCATAAGGGTCAAACTTAGCTCCAACGGGGTTCAGCTTGAGTAAGCCGTGCTTTGTGAACACCTTCTGAATCTGGACTTCAGTCATTACCAGCCCCTCGTAGAGGTTCTTCAGGTGAGGGTTGTCATCTTTGATCTCTTCTTTGGGAACACACTGTGTTGCCTTCTCCAAAATGTCTGCAACCTCCAATAAGTCCTTGCAGAAGCCCTGAATGCCTAAATGAGGTTAAAGAAGATAGTTTGCATTCCATATCCACCACACGGGACAATTCAAAACTGTGAGCACTGTCTACTTCCTGCAAGGGTTAGTCAGTGATAACTTGTCAAATCATTCATTTGCCCTAGGATCTCAACGGCTTGACAATTTAGAGCAACAACAACAAAATCCCAAAAGCCTTTTCTGGGATGAGACCCAGTATCACTAAAGTGAGGAAGAAAGGAATCACAAAAATTAAGGGGAAAAAATTAAGGTTAAAATACCTCTGACACTATCACATTGGCCATTAAAAAACAAACAAACAAACCCTTGAGACAGCCAAGCAAAGATGTCAAGTAATGGGATGAGATTAGAACTCAGAAGAAATACTTGAGCTGGAAGTAGAAACCTGTGTGAGAATGGAAAAGACACCCAGGGAGAAGAAACCTGCTACCAAGTCCCAAAGAAACTAGACATTTACAGCTCAGACTAGTGGAGAGGAAGAATACGAGGAAACTGAGACGACAGCCTCTAGGAAAACAGTGTTCCAAGGAGGGATTTGTTATCTGTGTTGAATGTGGCAGCAGGATGGGATCTGAGTCTTAGTTCCCACTGGCCTCTTGCCCCTGTGTCCTTGGGCAAGCCATTTATTTAACCTCTCACTGTAAGCCTTAGGCTCCTCACCTATAACTCAGGGGATAGTTATGTACAGATCCACAGTAAGCCCTCAAACGGCGGCCTCATGTCCACTAAAAAGCACGGAGTCAGGAGCGCTAGCCTTCCATAGGTGCTATTACTAGCTTTGTGATGTGTGCCAAGTCATTACACCTCAATATGTCAACTGTAAAATGGGAAGGACAGTGACAAAAGTACCCAAAAGTGACAATGCAGACAGCATGCAAGGAGCTCTGAAGCAGTATCAGCAGTACCTCTTGGGTGGCTAGAGGGAGGGCATCACAGAGGCCAACTTGCTAGAGTCAGCTCCAGGCTCACGCCAAGGTCTTCATGTGGAAGCGCAGTGAACGTGCTCCTTACGGAGCGGCCTGCACCTCCTTGCCATCCATCCCACACACTCATCACAACTGCGTGACTTCTGCTCCTCAACAGAGAGCTGTTCTGCTGACCCATCTAAACAACCTGGACGGAATGCAACTGCCCGGCCTCCCGTCCCCGCCCCTGCCTAGTCTCGCTCTTTGATGCTTACATATGCGTGCTCCCTCCCCTTCCCCACCCCAGGTATCTTCCTTCCAGGTTCAATATCATGTAATGTTTAAAGATACCATATAATTTTGCCTCCTCCACCAATTTTTTGCTTCTCTGCCGCAAGTTCTCAGTATCTGCCAAAGCTCGTTTGTACTTTTCCTAAGAAAAAAGGCAAAAAGGAAAAAGGAAATTTACCTGAGTAAAATGTGGAACAAATTCATAGGAAAGCAAGCCTGATTTAAAATGATAATATAACAAACTCCAAGTCAAAATACAAATAACATCTATTATTACTTTTGAGATTCTGGACTGAAACAATGCAGCTTGATAAGTAACAGTAACTTGAACCTGGGTCAGCATTTCCAGTGAGGGGGAAAAGGGTCAAGGTGTCACATATTCATTCTCATTCAAGTGTACAGCTCGGTAAAGGGCAAGAAAAAACTTCTACTTCCTTGTGATTCTGATGATCTCATCTCCCCTCAAGGAAGAACCATTAATTCCCCAGCAGATGTCCAACTTAGGGGAACCCTACAACCCTAGTTAGGTGCTGACCCATTTCAAGTTCCCACACCATGGAGGAAAGGTTTACGATGACGTATGGGAGCAGAAAGTTTAGGTATCTATCCCATCAGAGATAAAACCCCATCAATGAAACTTGGGTATCTTCAGTGTTGCCTAGAGGTGGCTGAGTTCACTCACTCACTGTGTGGTAACTACCCGAGTTCCAGTATCTTCCTCATTTCTCACCGCTTTTCCTATAAGCTCACTCATCTCCTGAGCTTTTCTATTTTTAACATTTATAAACTACTTGGGTGGGGGGTGGCTCTCTCTGACACTGCATGTATTTTCAGTCTTGAGGCAATTGTAGTGTGGTGGTTAAAGGCAAGGGCTCCAAGGCCAGACGGTCCCACTTCAAACTCTGGCTCTGAGGGCCTCTCTCCAAAGGGGCTCTGAGGAATTCCCTATTCCTCAGGGCTGGGGGCCAAGATTGGCCCTTGAGGGTCATCATCACGAGGTGGGCAGACTTGTTTTGCTATCTTGGGCACTGCAGGGGGAATGAGGGGTGGACGGAGAAAACCCTGATTCTGCTATTTGGTAGCTAGGTGAAACTGGGGAAGTTTCCTTAGCCTTTCTGTGCCTCAGTTTCCTCATCTGTAAATAAGGATATTAACAGTTTACTCATAGGACTGCAGTGAGGATTAACACACCAGTCCCCCCTTTTCCATGGTTTCATTTACTTGCTGTCAACTATGGTCCAAAAATATAAAATGGAAAATTCCAGAAATAAGTAATTCATAGGTTTTAAAATTGCATGCAGTTATGAGTATTGTTATAATTGTTCTATTTTATTATTAGTTATGATTGTTAATTTCTTACTGTGCTTAATTTATAAATTAAACTTTACCACAGGTTATGTATGTGTGAGAAAAAACACAGCACATACAGGGTTCAGTTCTACCTGCAGTACCAGGCATCCACCGGAAGTCTTGGAATGTGTCCCCCCAGGATAAGGGGACTACTGTATATATAAAGTGCTTAGAACAGTACCAGCACATAAATGTTTGATGTCACCATTCTTAAATCCTTAAAAGAACTTGATGTGTGCCATCTATATGCTTTTTCGCATGGATAATAATCCATATTAAGTAGTTCATAAAACTCCTGCCCTGAGAGCACTGCATAACCACACTCTTGCTCCCAATTCTTGTACAGTACTTGAAATTTTCTGGTTTCTTTCCTAAGTTCCAGCTGAAACAACCATACTGAGTATTCCTCATTTGCAAAGATCATTTTAGGTCTTAACTCAATATAATAAATGTAGCACGTAAAGAATATTCTCAAGCCAGAACCAGAGCAACAAAGGATTTGGGTCTAGTCCTTGCTTTGGCAGTAACTTGCAACCTGAGCCCACTGCACTACTGGATCCCTCTGGCTTGGGTCTGTCATCAATGAAACTTGGACCCTTTCATGTAGACCATGTGAGAAACTGCAACAGAGCACACATCCCACAAGAGCCTGTGAGTCTTACCATCGTCTCTTTCAGCTGCTCTTCTAACTTGACCTTCTCTTCCAGGAGGATCTTTTCTGTGGAGGGAGGATCTGTCTTCTGTTCATTTTGACCCACGTCCTCTTCCAAGTTCTGGCCATTGTTCTTCTGTTTTGTAGCTGTGCACAACAACCGAGGAGAGGGCCTGAGAAAAGCCCACACATTAGAAGGTAACACTTTGCTTTTCTGCTGCTTGTTAAAGTCAAATGTATGGTTTCAGAAATTTAGAATAATTTCAAACTATTTGCTATTGACTTGTTGGGAAAAAAAGCTTATCTTCTGTCTAATAAAGGTAAACTATGTGATGTATAGAAACTTTTTATTTATAAAAAAGTCTTTTGCAGGGCTGGCTGGTTAGCTCAGTTGGTAGAGTGTGGTGCTGATAACACCAAGGTAAAGGGCTCAGATCCCAGTACTGGCGACACACACACACACACACACACACACACACACACACACACACACACACACACTCTCTCTCTCTCTCTCTCTCTCTCTCCTGCAATACATGCCAAACTAATACATCACTGTACCAAATTACAGTACTTTCCTCCTCCTCTTTCCATTGTACAGTGACTTCTGAGATGTAGTCACCCACACCTCACCACATACTTATAGAGGAGCTACTATTAGATATGAGGCCCACTGCTGACACTGATGACAAAGATAGACCCAGCAGAGATCTTGCCCACAGGGCACTTACTGTCGTGCAAAAAAGGTAAGACAAGAATACACATAAGTATACACAAAGAACTATAATTTGGGGTTTAAAAGTGATAAATGGGGGGCTGGCCGGTTAGTTCAGTTGGTTAGAGTGCAGTGCTATAACACCAAGGTCAAGGGTTCAGATCCTCATACCTGCCAGCCATCAAAAAAACCAAAATAAAACCACAGTCCAATCTGAGAAAAAACTTTGTTCCATTTCCTTCACAGGTTAAAGAAAACTACCTCAATGAACAGTAAAGCTATTAGTACATAGAATACACATATAAAGATGTTTACTGCAACACCACGCAGCCACCAGCCACCAGCTACCAGCTGGAAACAATGTTCATCAGTAAGGAAACAGTTGAACAAATTGCTGCTTCCACAATCTGTAATGCCATGCAGCTACTAAAAAGAAGGAGTTAAACTGCCCTCTCTTGGAAGCACTATGGGTATTCTGTTAAGTAAGAAATGCAACTTACAGAGAAATACACAAAACGTGATCTCATTTTTGAAAAGACAAACTAGAAATCCTGTGTACATTCATGTTTCTTATGCCGTTAGAAAGGAGTGGAAAGATCTAGCAGTCTATTTACCATGGGGGCAAAGAGTGATGATTTTTTTTTTTTACTTAAAAATTTTTTATTTATTATTAGCATATTCATTCTTACAAATCGTGATTATTTTACTTTTCTGATTTAAAAAAGCTAAGAATCTAAAAACTAAGTGTTCTGTTGTGAAGCCTGCCTTCTCCTCTCGTTGTTCAGGCCACTGGGTGTGACAGTCACACAGTCTTTCTTCGGGTCAGCTCTGCTCTCTGCACAGATCCTCTCCTGAGCACAACCAACAAAGGGTCTGGCAGCGAGCGGGGTGTGGGATGCAACTGGACCCAGAGACAGAGCTGTCCCGTTTTCAGAGCAAAACTGAGTCTCCGAAAGCCTAGTTACGGTGAGAGCTACGACTACCATTCAGCTCTCCTCCTAGTTGAACATCTTTCCACAAAAGCACGATTTCAGAGACACAAATGATGCTAAGTTGGTGGTCACTTTCCCGACAATTAATTCCAAATACAAAACCACAAATTACTTGAGGAAAAAGTCTTTTTACTCGAGTATTGTAGATGGGTCACTGCTCTTGGTCCCCATGTTTAAAATGTGTAATGTATGAAGCTGGCGCTCACCCCTTAATCCCATACCCCTGCCTGGAAAGACCAGCTCGCACTCTGCCCAGCTTCCACCCAACGTGTGGCCCAGAGCGGCTTCTCTAATCAATAACTTGGTTCCGGGCAGTCCCTCCAGCAGAGAAGATACGAAGACTTGCCACACTAACTTCTGACCTAAGACTTTCAAAACGCAGAAGCCGCAGATTGAAAGAAAAAGAAAAGCAGCGAGGACGCTGTCTCTGGCAACCCCGGCCGTGAAGTCCGCGCCGGGTAACAGGCTCCCTCCCCCACGGGGCAGGCTCCTGTCGCTCTCTTGACCTCGGGCTCCGAAGAAGGCGGGGGTGCAGGAGGATTCGAGGCCGAGTGGGAGGCCGCGTAGCGACACCGACCTCCCCGAGGCACCGTCCCGGCGCGGCCTCGAGCTGTGCCCGCAGCTAGCAAAGGACGAGCGAGCCCTGCCCGCCGCGTGCCCGGGGCGAGTCTCGGGTGTCTCCGGCCGCTTTCGGCCGCGTCTGCTCCCGTGTGCGCCCACGAGGTCGCCGCGGCCACTTGGTCACACGCACACGTGGGCCCCCGTCCCTTCCATCTCGGACGCCCCGCGCTGCGGCCACCCTGCTCCCAGCCGCGGCGCCCTAACGCCCCGCGCTGCCCGGCCCAGGTGGCCACTCCCGCTCGTCCCCGAGCCCCGTGCCGGCAGTGCTGAGGAGCCGCAGCCCGCGTCAGACCGGGGAGGTCGGGCACCCCTTACCTGAGAGACAGCACCAAAGCCGGGAGACTGTGCCGCGCCAGCCTCACGCACCGGGACGCCATGACCGCCGCTGCCTGCCGCCGTCACTGCGCACGCACCGGGCATGCGCGCATGCCGCGCGCCTACTTCCCCGCCTACTACTTCTCTTCAGCCAATCGACGGCCGCTTCTCCTGTGATGGACGGGCAATAGTCACCAATAATTGCGGGTCGCGGCCGAGCACCGTGCCTCTGGTGGGCGGGGACTGAGGCCTTCTTGAGCCCCAGAAGGTGAGGAGGTGAAAGGTGAAGGGAATGGTGGGAGGAGCCTCTCTGCGGGAGGGGCGGGGCCCAGAGGACAGCCAATGGCGAGGAAGCGCGGTCGCCATCGCTGCTCCGGTGCAGCACGCGAGCGGGGCCCTCGGTGTCCGCGGGACGGGAGGAGGACGTCGGGCTCGGGGCAGAGGGCAACCGGGCGGCAGTCACAGGCGCTTGAGACAACAGCGGATGAAACCGTGTGGGAGGTTCCCATCCCTGAGGGCGGCTGCCCTGTCCCTGCAGGAGGAGGGGACGAGCAAGGGTCTCCACCTCTGCCGGCTTCAGTAAAACAGCAAACGCGACAGGATGTGAGCAGTTTTGATGTTGGACGGTGGGAATATGGGTGTGTGTTTTGTTTTGCTTCCTCCTATTACCTTCAGTTTTCTCGAAACACATAGAACCAAAGCAAGAAGAGCGCGTAGGAAAACTCCCGGACACAACCAAAGCTCATAAATTCAGTGTTTTCATTGATCTGACGAGGTCAGTGCTACTATATCACGTGCTCACAAAGAAGCAGAGGTGCTGGAAGAGGACGTGCCTCATGTTCTTATGTTCCTAATGTCGTCCCCGAGCCTGCCTACTCCTCAAGATCCCAGGGATGGAGCCTGCCACCTTCTCAAGATCCCGGGGCAGGAGCCTGTGGCCTCCTCAAGATCCCAGGGCAGGAGCCTGCGGCCTCCTCAAGATCCCAGGGCAGGAGCCTGCGGCCTCCTCAAGATCCCGGGGCTGGAGCCTGCGGCCTCCTCAAGATCCTGGGACAGGAGTCTGCGGCCTCCCTGAGTGCAGTGCTTGCTGCCTGCTGTCTTACATTTCTGAGGACCTCTATTCTTTTGCTTTGCTCCCATTAAAACCAGTCATTCAGCTAATGCTGATTGAACACGAAATGTTTGCCAGTTACTGTGCCACCTGCAGAAGGGAGCAAACAGCCAAATCCAGAATGTGGGATGTTCTACAGGTCAAATGACCCTGCTTATTAATTGGTTAGGTCTTGGAGAAAATAGAAAAGGAAGTGAGACTGTTAGAGAATAAGCGAGTTTAAAAACATAATTGGATTGAATGTAGAACTTATTTTGATCATGATAGGATAAACTAACTGTAAAAAAGACGTTTGTGAGATGGGGAAATTTGAATATAAACTGGGTATTAAATGCTAATACAGAGTTATTGATACTTTTCTTGGGGAGAGATAATGGCCAAGTGGTCATGTGAAAATGTCCTAATCCTTAGAGATGCAAACAAAAGTATTTAGAGTAAATTGCCACAGTGTCTGGAATTTGCTTTATAAAAATACTTAGTAGAAAAAAATGAGGATAGGTGAAACATAAGTGGCAAAATGTTGATAATGTTTGAAGCTGGGTGATGAATAATGTGGAGGTTATAACTATTTTCTCCTATTCCGAATATGTTTGAAACTTTCTGGAATAAAATTTAAAATACATCTCATGTTTCTCATTGGCTGTGTCGACCTGGGAAAAGATCCTGAGGCACTGATAAAATATCAGAGTTTATTTGAGCCAGTACGTGTGACCACGGCCTGGGAAAATATAGATACAAGAGGATTTGAGTTCTGTGTTCTAATTTTCAGCCTGGGTTTCAGTATTTTTATAATCACAGAGAAGTGAAGGATGAAGAGTTCGAAAGAGGACGGTCCCTTAATCAGCACATCTTCGTTCTGTTGGTTACACAGCATCACACAAGCTAGCGATTGGTTCTGGGTTGCGTTCTAGGTACAGGCACATGAGTAAGGGTCACCAGATCCATAGGCACTGGTCAGCCTGGTGGGAGATGAAAAGTCGTAGTGGTGACAGTTCCAGAGTGTGTGGTCGTGGCTGTCTCTCTGTTCCAGATTCCCCAAGGCTATTTGGAATATAGCTGAGCTCAGTCAGAGCAAATTTCTGGTCTATCAGCTGTGACCACGTCACTTAATTGCTCTCAACCTTCACTTGCTCACGTGTGAAACTGGGATCTTATCCTTTGCTGTGAGGTTTAAAAGAGAGAAAAATGTTCGTTTCCTTCCTCTTTGGAACTTGCAGTGAATCGGATGAGCATCCTGCAGCATAGAGACTGATGAAAAGAGTTATAGCCGCCGTGTCGCCAGACGAACAGGCATGGGTTGTCCCAGTGGCGGTGCCACGTTGGGGACCCTGAACCACGGCTGGGCCCTGTGTCCTTCTCCAAACCAGTGGGATTTCCCCGAGCTGAGGCCTGCCTGTGCTGCCACCTCGTGGCCACGTCAGGAACTGCTTCCAAGGGAGCCTCCCCTCCTGGGCTCCTACCTGCTCGGGTCCCCCAGGTCTGGCACCGCTTCACAGTGCACGTCATCGCCACGTGGAGATGCAGCTGCCTGCATGGGAGGACTCCCGGGTCAGCCGTCTCAGCGTACGTCCAGCATGGGCATGGGCGGACCAGCGGGGGAGGGCTGGTGGTGCAGGAAGAGCAAACTCAACGGCAGGTGGTACCCCAACAAGGATGGGGTGCTGTTTAAAAAGGAAAAAAGTGTCAGCCGGGTGCCGGCCAAGTGCCAGGCTCTGTGCCCGGCGCCTCAAAGATGTCGCCGTGGGGGTTGGCCCAGCGCCGCAGCAGGAGGGGCCGACTCAGCCGGGTTAGGGGCCTCGCACAGGGTCATGTGGGCAGAGAAAGGCAGAAGTGTGTGTATTTCTCCTGGCCGATCTGGGATTCTGCATTAGTGCTGCGTCTGTCTAATCCAGAGTGCTTGCTGCTGCCATGCGCTCAATGATGATTTCTCAGCAGGAAGATGGATTTTCATTCTTTTACTCAACTTTGAAGTGAGCAAATTTAGGAAGATGAGGGTATGGTGTGGTGGCAGACAGAATTCTGCACATGGAGCCCGAGAGTCCCACCCCTGTTCTTCAGTCGGACACTAACCTGGGTGCTGGTGTGCAGGAACCTTGCAGAGGAGGTAACGTCCCGAGCCATTTAACCCTGAGATCAGAGATTTTCCCAGCGGCTTGACCTTGTGAGCCCTTCAACAGCAGGGAGTTTCTCCCTCCAGCAGCAGAAGGTGATGTTGGGTTTGATGTGTGAGAAAGGCTCGCACCACCATTGTGGTTTGAAGATGGACGGGCCATGTGAGGAGACCAGGGGTGACCTCTAGGAGCAGAGAGTGGCCTTCGGCTACAGCCAGCTGGGAAATGGGGACCTCAGACCTGCAGCTGCAAGGAACTGGACTCCATCAAGTACTGGAATGAGCCTGGAAGTGGATTCTCCTCCAGAGCCTCCAGGTAAGAGCCCAGCCCAGCTGCCACCTTGATTTTGACCTTGCGAGACCCAGACTGGAGAAGCAGTTTAATTCACTGAGCCACTCCTGATCCTGTGAGGCGGGCATTACTTTACCCATTTTATTAGCTTTGCTTTGAACTTGGGTACACAGAATGGATTCGTCATGCAGTTTCATTCCCATTCTCATCATCACACCTCCTTCCAGCTGCTTTTGTTTGTTGGTGTAGATTCTACGGTTGACGCCCCTGGACCCACCACCCAGAGGAAACTGAGGTTCCGAGCTTAAGGGGAACCTGAACACCTGGCAGCAAATTCACTGCTGCTCTCCCCAGCACACTGGCTCCAAATGCAAAAGGATGCTCTTGGTAAAAAAAATACCACCAGAAGGGGCCACAGACATTCAAGTTGAAATAACTTGTTGCAAAAAGAGCCAGACTTCATGGGAGGGAGTTTAACTGGGATAATCAACTGCACAGTTAGTTAACAGCCATTTCCCGAGAATACCTGAATGACAGATGTGGCTGTCTGAATCTGGTGGAATCCAGGTGTGCAGGCGCCTGCACCAGCGTGATGCAGCCAGGGTGGCACAGCGATGGGGTGTCAGGGGGAACAAAGGACAGGGTGGGAGAGAGGAAGACTCCTTGGGATCTCAGTAGAACTTTGTAAAAAGCCCGAGGACAGGAGAGATAATTTGAATCTGAAGCCAACTAAATTGTTCCTAACGAGGCCACTGTGATTTGAACCCTCTGTGTGATGGTTGAGTCAGTGTTAGGCAGACAGAAGTCAGAACCTGAAAAGCCACGTGGGGGGGGGGGGCGGGGCTGGCAGGAAGGCAAGGGG